TGCTTGATAATTTCAATATTTAGCACCAGCCGGACTAGATCAAAGTAGAGTAGGTCACTTGTTGATGCCTCATGAGCGTAAGACAAGGTTAAAGAACAGTGGCGGACCAATTAGTTGCTCTTAATTACATATATTGGGGTCAGCAGAAGAAGACATGTTTTGAATAATTAAATAATTTATGTCTGATAGTGATTTAAACCCTGAGACACCAAACAGAATCCACGACCAGATAAAACGGTCCATCTTAAAAAAACACCGCAAATTCCATCACGGTCCAGCTTAGAAATCAAACGAAAGTGAGGTAGAAAATCGATGGCTTCCACATGAAAGCTCCAATCGTTTGGCGATCCTAGAGAACATGAAGGCTTTTCCAAGGATTTTATTATTTTGTGTAATAACCGACAGAAGATCACGATAAAGAATAACACGTTGGCCAAATGTGCGTTTTTTAATATTTAGTTCTGTGTATTATTTGGCAAGGAACCTAAAGCGAACATGAACATGATGGTTGTTTTCACACTACTTTCACACAAGAATCCGTCGGATCTTATTAGGAGCAGAATTGATATTTTAGGGGTTATTTTTTGAAGCATATATTTCTAAATTGCCGTATTATCTTTCTTTATCGGTCTACCCTCATGCATAACTTTAGCTTACGATATCCTGAGTAGTCCCTATCTGCTTCAGTGTTTTTATATTTCAGTGGCAGTTTTTTCCTTTTTCTAATAACTTCGCTTTGATCATGGCTATAATAATGAAAATGTATTTGTGGCTTTATTTTAACATAGTAAAATTTTGAATTTCCAAAAATGCACTTTTCATTAGTAATCTCTCAACAGCAGCAACCAGCATGCTGTGCAACATTATAGTCAATGTACTGAAAGAAGAATCATCAATAAAATGTAATCACGTAACGATTTTAGCAAAAAGATGTGTTTTCCGGTTCAGACAATAACATATTCGACATTATCGTGCTACCCACATGCGAGTCCAAATAGAAGTTCTAGCAAATAACGTTTTCAGTGTCGTTGACAGTGGTTGGAAGTAATTCAATTGCAAGTAATTCATTACTGTAATTCAATTCCTTTTCAAGTAATGTACTTTTTGGAATTACTTTTAACCCAAATACTCATAAATATTATTTCATTTTTCTCTACGAATCGTTTAAATGACCTGCTGGGATTATTATACCTGGTTCGTTCCCACAAAGAGAAGATTAACCCAGTAGGGAGTTAAAATCTAAAACGAGTTTAGCACAGAATTTGTTAAGAAACCAAGTAACCATAATATACATAAGCTCTTCATCATTTTAAGGGTGAACTAAAGCATGTTCCAGCATAGAGAAATACATATAAAATTCTATCCAAGTCTTTGTCAAAAGTATATGTCCAATTATAAAAAAGGGGCGTAAAAAACCCTATCCAGACTGCTTTTCCGTTTTTTAAATTTTGTTGTCAAAAAAACCTACAACGCGTTAAAATTGTGATGAGTATGAGATTATCTGGTTTTCGTTATTTATGGATCAATTTTAAATTTTCAAAAAGGTGCATTAGTAGAAATTGTATTAAAAAATCCATTGCGCTTTACAGAAATAAAATATCTTAATAAATAATTGAGTAAAGAATATTAAAATTTGTGGTCAAACAAACTTTAGCCATTTTTCTGGTCTACTCAAATCTAACTATCTAACACCTAACCGATAGAGCCCGTACTTTTAAACCCCTCATAATCCGACAATAAAATTTTATAAGAGTGTCCACCCTCTAAATTTAATCTGTAAGTGAAGTAAGATGCAATTAAAGATAGACTTTTAAGTTTACATTATCTTAAGCCCCCTTCTAAGTATTTAGGAACATCCTTTTTATTAAAGATTAAAAGATTTGCGTCCGCAGGTAATTATCCGTGGACTAATATTTTACGATACATTTACACGTAGCCAATAAGAAAATAACAAAAAGCTTTCGCAAAACAAAATTAGAAGTTCAAATTAATATTTTTGTGAGTATTGTTAATCTCTAATTCCAGGCTTCAGATTTTGTAGTATCTGTTCAATAAATCACATTACATAACTTAAGCTCAGAAATCCTACACGGTTATATTTAATTAGAACTTCTTTGTTCATGAAAAATCGTAGCTATTTTTTAAAGCCAGCTTGTTATCTGTAAAATGTTCACTGTTGAGAAATCCTTTCTATTTTAACATCATCCAGTCGGCTACATGAAAAAATCCTGGTAATTTAGTTAATTGATAAAAAGTTTCATACGTCACAGTTACCACAGTACTAGGACTAGGACTAGGATAAAAAAAAGTTAATATTAACAGCAATCCATACTTCACTTTTTTCGAGATTCCTCTTGTTGTTGCTGTAAATGCATACAAAATAAAATGCTTCAGATAAACGAATTAAATGCTCAAATGTTTTAATTCCAACGACGTTAGTAAGCACAACAATTTAGATAAACAAGATAATTTTGAATGCAACAACAATCTCAACTCTTGTTGCTAAATCAGGTTTTATATTTCACCGCTCTTAGATTTTACACAACAACACGGAAGCCAACTTGGTGGTAACTTTGTTAATTAACTACTAGTTAACACTTATTAATTCTTAGTGAAATGCCGTTTCAAACTTAGAACTATACGAACACTTGTTGCTAAAGTTTCCTTGTTCAGATTCAATTATCTCGGTCCCAGGGGCGGCTGGTCAGGGGCGGCAGGGTCGGCCACGCCGTACCAGTCATTTTAAAATACTTAGTAAGCGTTGAAATTAGAAAATAAAAAAAGAAATAAAGTTTGAATGTACGTTAGGATAGATCATATATATTAAAAACATATTTTATTATATTGTAGGTACAAAATAAAGCATTTGTTGCTAATTTTAAATGCTGATAAACACGCTTTGCCGGCGAGATTTCGGCAAGCCGTACCCAGGAATGCATTATACTCGATGTTTCGACTTCGTAGCAGCTTACGGTTTCATCGTTCTCTTTGTCTAGTACACTGTAGTAGACAAAGACCTGGCGGAACGTATGTTGTGCCAGGTCCGGCGAAATCCTCCTTCGCCGTACCCAGCAACGCGAATTTAGTTTTTAAAACGCTTAATATTTAAGATAGCTAACCAAATTACAAAACAATAACGGCTTCGATGTTCTTCAGTGCATACTATTTTTTTTTAATAATAATTGTCGATTTAATACATTTTTCTGTATATGAATAATAAACGAAAAAAATTACATTAAATTATCTAAAATTTTATTTTTCGTACATAACTTAGCTACAACATAAATGCGCTTTTTCTGTATTATTAGCATCTAAGCGTTTTCAGATATTTCAGAAACGAATTTAAAGTTTTAAATCATTTTAATTTTTCAATTATTCAATGAATTTATTTGACAATTTGTCATATACATTAAAAAAAAATAAATGTAAATGAAGATAGTTAACAGTTGGTACTTTTATTATTACTTTTTTTATATTTTTTAACTGCATGTCATTATTTAATTATTATTATTTAATTGTGGATGTCCGGGGTCGGCAAGCCGTATAGCCGCCGGTCGACGCGGAACTCAGTAAAAATAATGTTTTCGGTGGTTCTCAATTAATGATAAAGCAGAACAAGTAGAATTAAGGATTAATAGTATTTGGAATCAAACTGACATTGTCAATTTCCTATAAAAAATTATTTTAACAGGTCGAAACATTTGAGATGTTTTGTACATCCTGGCACGTAAAATGTCAGTGGTTAATGAGTAGCAGCCATACATTACGAAAATATATAACACCAAGGTGTAGACTCAAAATATTTGGCCGACCCGAAATTTTGACCCACCAGCCGCCACTGCAGTCGGTCCCCTTTAGTTACAAACAATACCCGAAATATGTTTGTTTGAGCTAGGATCGAAGTAAGACAGTGGATGTCTTAATTGTGGGTTGAGAGCGAAGCTTTCAAAACAAACTTATTTTTCTGTCATGATTGTTTGGAAGATTAATATTTACATTATTATGTTGCTGGATAAATGTAGAAAGAACAACTGCTAAAAATAGAATGGATCTTAAATATTTTCCTTTTTTTTTGTCAAAAATAAGTCAAAAGCAATGTTGCTTGTGTTTTACCTGTACTTATTTTACAACGTCAACTTTGTAGAATGAATTTGATTAAGAGGACAAACTTACCCTCTTTGTTAATATTTTGAATGCCCATATACTATTTAACAAAGAACAAATAAAATAAAACATAATTAATTTAGACGTACAATTTTATAAACAATGACAAAAAATTTTTATATTCTTTATAGGTATTGTTATTTTTATTATTTTAATATCATCAAAAAATTGGAGTATCATTCGCTTAAGGAGCAGTGACGCTTTTTGTTAGAAAACTTTTCTGTCATAGTAAGCCCGACCTTATCTTTCTAAACATACTTTACTTATTCTAGGTACACTAAACAAAAAAGGGCGTAGACCGACTACTTTATTAACATCGAAACCAAAAACCAAAAAAAATACACCCACATTTTGTTCTTAAAAATGCGCTAAAGTAAAGTTGAATCAGTTCTTGTAAAAGTATCATTTATGATCATAACCATTAATCCATAATATGAAAAAAAAAGTTAAGTTGGGTAAACAAAGTTAAATTTATTTCACTCACCAGTAGTAGCGGCGGCAACTTTGCAAAATAAATGACGACGACTTCTGAAAGCCGTCGCGACGCTACTGAATGTCGCATCCAAGAAAACATAAAACGAGGAAATGTGCGAATGCGCGAAAATCTGCAAAATAAATTCCTCCTAAGCCGCATTATTCGCAAATGTTATTCAACACAGCAAGTTGCCGATACAAAACATAAAGTAGGTTAATACTATAAAAGCTGAGGCACAAAATGGTAATTTCAATTTAATGAATTCAGGTTTAAAGCTTGCTGAATTTTTCATTAAGCGCGGTTTATTAATAAATAACGTGTTATTCGAAACGCGCGCTGCTTTACTTGTCAGTTGATGGCAACAGTAGTACCAACCAAACTACTCAAACGTGACAGATGACAGTTCTGTCCTGACATTTTCCTCTTTTTTACATTTTTTGATAGCAGTGGGATGCCCCGGTAGACGAAAATCGTGTGAACGTGTGAATATACTTCTCCTGTGTTCGTGTGAATATCGACCAGAATGGCAGACGCCGCCTTTAGCCGTAATGAAATAATCAGTCTAGTTGTGAGGTTAACCTTGGTTTCTGCTGTAACTTTTATTAGCATAAAATGGCTAATGAATCAGGTGGATCCTACGAACAAGAGCAAAAAGAAGGCGCGGAAGAAGGCCCAAGAGCAGCTGAAAAGGTACCCATTAAGAGGTTTTTTTAATTCATCAAATTACATAATTTGTAGGTTAGCAGGTAGTGGCCATGCACCATTAGTCATCGAAAATTTATCAGACTATGAGATGATGATAGCGGCTCATTTGATACATCCTCAAGATATTAATGTAACATGGAACAATATTGCGGGGTTGGATCATATGATACAAGAACTGCGCGAGACTGTCATTCTTCCAATACAACGAAAGGAGTTGTTTGCTGATTCGCAACTAACCACTGCCCCTAAAGGTAACGTTGGTGTAGGGTAGTTCACTTACAAGAAACTAAATAACTTATTAAAACTTCTTTAAATAAAATTCAGTTATGATTGTGTTCCAACAGTTAGAATTAGAAGTTTAAATTATGAGATTATAAACCAGATTTGTTGCTGTCCTGAGTTATTAACTTATTAATAAGAAGTAGTGAAGTCTTTTTGTCATTCCTCAACAGATGTCGCTGCTATCGTGCGAATAGTAAGGTTACTAAAGGTGACATTTTTGAAAATAATATGCGAGTCATCAAAAACGCTGGCAAGTAAAGCATGAACAGTGGCGTACTCAAATTCCCTTTTATTGGGATTGATTATTATTAAAAAAAGGTGTCTTTGACATTCAGCTAAAATAAATAAATTTTTACATAAATGTAAAAAATGAAAAAGTACAGGGTCATCAAAATTGATTGAGAGAGTTGGTACCCCCTGTTTTTGTCGTGAAGTTTGTCAACCTTATGACAGATTTGTTTAAGGTTATATGGCAATGAATTCAGTGGCGTGACAAAAATTAGAAACTTCAAATCTGACAACTAATATTTTTACCAAAAAAAAAGTCTAAAAAAGACGCCACTGAGTTTTGAAATTTGAAACTTGACACTTCAAATCTGACAGCTAATATTTTTATACAACTTAATAAACCAAATTATTCAAGTTCAGGTTTACCAACTCTCTCAATCAATTTTGATGACTCTGTATTCAAGTTTTGAAACAGTAATGAGTCAGCCAAAAAATGACCGTTACACACTTTAAATGTCAAATATTTATTCTTCATTGAAAAAAATTTATGTAGTTTTTAATTTTCTGATTCGTTATTTGCCCTGAGTTTTCTATCTCAGTATGAATTTTACGTTACGTACTTTCTTTATCTTTGTTTCCTTTGTTTTATTCTTTGTTAACTACAGAACTACATTCCATATGATTAATATGAAAAATACTTCGCTGTTATTAATTATGCTGTTATTGAGAATGTGGTTTATGACACATAAAAAAACGTGATTTTTTTATGTGGTTTAATCCACTGTAAGTACGCATTAAGTGATTAATTTTTCAATTAGTTCTTGTTCACATTTTCAGTTAACATTGCCGTTAGAAATTAATATGGAGTACTTTTTGAGTTTTTGAGTTATCAGTTTATCTGTAATCTGTTGCAAAAATCTCTATATACATACCAAAGTTATCTTAGAACAAAGAAAAAACAATTGAGATTGACTTATTGAAATTTTTTGATAATTGTTTAGCAAGATAAAATTTGTCTTATTTTAATATTCAGTCGACTGTGCCGCTGACAGATCCGGATACTTCACTCTAAAAAAACTGCCTTGTTTTAGAGTGATGCTGCTGTTCTTATTACTTCCCGAGCGTAAGCAAAGGAAGTATTGTAATCGAGTCCGTCGGCCGACTCTCTACTTTTACGTTTTCTCGATCTTTCATGACCCCTAGAAGACGAAGAAATGGGTCTCCCATTTCCGTCTGTCTGTCCGTCTGTCCGTTCGTCTGTCCGTCCGTCTGTCCGTCTGTCCGTCTGCCGTCCCGGATTTTTATTAGACAGATAATCTCCGAAAGTACTCGACCGATTGTTGTGAAATTTTGTACTTATATTAAGAATATCATGTAGATGGTAAAACGCTAACCAAAATTTGTCTAATCATCCCCACCACTAATGCGATGACGTTACTTCAAAATTGTACATAGTAAATGAGTTTTCAATTGTATAAAATAACATAGTCCTACACATGTAGTTTACAACTCTGAATCGACTTTTCACCCGAAACGTCCAGATTTTTGGAAAAAAAATCAAAATTATAAAACAACATTTTGAAATTTAATTTTTAATCTGCTAACCAGAATGCTTTGAAATGTTGCAGATGTTTTAAGGCTATAAAGAGCATCATAAATCTTTAGTCAAAAAATATTTGCTTATCCCCTCCAAAAACTTGATGACGTCAGCTCAAAAGTTTGTGGAATAAATCATATCTAAAATGTACAAAATATGATGAGTCTGTACTTGTGATCTATCACTCCATTCATATTTTTTGGATTTGCATATACAGGGTGACTCAAAAAAATTAATGAATGCGTAAATTTATTTTACTGATTTACTCAGGAACTACAAAACCGAATGCTTCGAAATCTTGAAGATATTTTAAAATTATCATAAGCATGGTAAATTTTTGATCAAAATGTATTTGGTCGTCCCCCCTAAAAAATTTATGACGTCACCACAAAATTTTGCTGAATAAATCCTATCTAAAATGTACAAAATATGGTGAGTCTCTTCTTGTGATTTATCATTCCATTCAAATTTTTTCGATTTGCATATACAGGGTGACTCAAAAAAATTAATGAATGCGTAAATTTATTTTATTGATTTAATCAGGAACTACAAAACCGAATGCTTTGAAATCTTGCAGATGTTTTAAGGTTATAAAGAGCATAATAAATTTTTAGTCAAAATATATTTGGTTATCTTCTACAAAAAATTGATGACGTCAGCTCAAAAGTTTGCCGAATAAATCGTATCTAAAATGTACAAAATATGATGAGTCTGTACTTGTGATTTATCATTCCATTCATATTTTTGGATTTGCATATGCAGGGTGACTCAAAAAATTAATGAAGGCGTGAATTTATTTTATCGATTTAATCAGGAATTACAAAACCGAATGCTTTGAAATCTTGGGAATATTTTAAAGTTATTATAAGCATGGTAAACTTTTGTTCAAAATGTATTTGTTCATCCCTCCTAAAAAAATTGATGACGTCACCCTTAAATTTTGCTGAATAAATCCTATCTAAAATGCAAAAAATATGATGAGTTTGTACTTGTGATTTATCATTCCATTCATATTTTTTAGATTTTCTTAAGAGGTGGTTCAAAAAAATTAATGAAGTCAATTTATTTTATTGATTAAATTAAAGGCAACACTTATTATTAGTATTACACCCCAACCAACCCAATTTGGTAGACACAAAATTTGTTAAAGGAAAAACTCGGTTGAAACATAAGGGTAGCACGCTTATTTACATCGACTTTAACATTACAGACCTGCATTTGTTTTATGCGCTCACTTGGTTCCGCGAATGTGAAATAGACATGTTTATAATCAACCAATTGTGAATTTCACCGTCAAGAATTAAAATAAAACCCAATGTTTTATATAATAAGCGGAAGTCGAAGCAATAAAACCGATGGTCGTTTTGTTTACAGTTTCTCTGTTTGACTCTCACGTATGCTGTTACGCCTGTCATCTTAAATTAAGAATGTTTATACATACACGATTTTGAGTTGCCTCTGATACGTATACGTGAGTAAATTGTTTCGTTATTTTATTGATTATTACAAATATAATATTCAAAACGACCCAATTCATTTTCCCGAAAATTTGAGAATATAATAATTTTATTCTTAGTATTACACTACATCTATCCCAACTGATATACGTGTCCTTGCAAAAATGTTGATGACGTCATCGCATTTTTTTTTTAAATTCCCACTACAAAAATGTAATGAGAAAAAAAACACAATAGGCATGCAGTCGTCAAGTTTCCGACAGCGTGGGAAGTACTGTCTAAACTCTTTAGACCAATTTTTCTTTTTTTCCTGTGTGTAGCCCCAAAGTAGCCATACCTTTCCAGTGTATTATTTTCAATTCAATTTTATTTTAAATCAATAGTTTTATTTTTGTTTATATTTAAAATGGACCGTCTGCACAAAGAAATAAAAATTTTGATACAGAATTTGTTTTTACCTGCAAGTGCAAAAAACGGTAGATTTTTCCTTTTCTTTAGCAATCGATTTAAATCAATAGCTGTCATTTATAAAATTTACAGGTGCTCTTGCTATTAATTATTCAAAATTGTTACATACTTGCGTTTTTATTGTTTTGAGATTAATATTATATCATTTTGGAATCAGTTCTATTTTGTTTTTTCCCGAGTTGTTTCTTTCTCAGATTTTCTCTCTGAACTCTTTCAGTTCTATCATATGATTTTTTTTCCAAGTCGCCTTCGGACTCTTTATTTCGTAGTATCTTTTTCAAAACCTCTTTTTTTCGGTCTTTTTGGAATGATTTTTCGGAATTTCGTTTTTAGGAGTCGTCTCTTTCTCAGATTTTCTTCCCAAGTCGCTTTCGAAGTATCCCCTTCGAAACCTCTTTTCGGTGTCTCGTTTCTTGGAGTCGCTTTTTCGAAATCTTCTATTTTCTGAAAACGTCTTGTTTTTTGGAATCGGCTCTTTCTCAAATTCTTTTTCCAAGTAATTCTCGAAATTTCTTTCGGTTCCTTTTGTCGGAGTATCTTTTTGAAGTCCCTTTTTCGCAATGGTCCATTTCTCAGTTTTTCTTTCCGCGTCTTTTATTCGAACTTTGTTTTTTTGGCGAACTTTCATCAAAGTCCTTTTCTCTGAGCTGTTTCTTTTTCGTAGCCGTCTTTTTCGAGTCTTTTAGAGCCAACCTTTTTTTCAGAGTCGTCCCTTTCTCATGTTTCTCTTCGAGTCTTTTTTTAGGATCTTTTTTTAGAGATTCTTTTTGAAGCCCCTTCTTCAAACCCTTCGAAGTATCTTCTTTTTTGAAGTCTCATTTTCAGAGTCGTCTCTTTCTCAGGTTATCTTCCGAGTCGTCGTTGAGTATCTTGTTTTTGATTGATATCTCTTTCGGAGTATCTTTTTTGAAACCTCTTTTTTCGAAGTTGTTTTTTTCGGAGTATGTTTTCGAAGTCATCTCTTTCAGAATCTTCTCTTTCAGAGTCGTCCCACTCAGATTCTCTTTCGTAACATCTTTTTCGAAGTCTCTTCGGAGTCGTCTGCTTTTTCGGATCTATTTTTACAGAGTATCTTTGTTGAAGTCTCTTTCTCGTAGTCGTCTCTCTCGGAGTCTTATTTGTTCAGAGTAGCTTTTTTGAAGTCTCTTTTTGGGAGTCGTTCCTTTCTCTGGTTTTCTTTCCGCGTTTCTTGTTCGGACCTTTTATTTTCTTTCTCGAA